GCTCCGGTTGTGGATTCCTAAAGAAAATTCATCTGCCTTGGCTTGGGCAACCTGGCAGTATTCCGTTCACAAGCTAATCATGGAACGTTTTTTTTTTCTTTTTTATAAAGATTTTTATACCAGGATTTGTGTGGCACACAGTCTGGTGTCAGACGTGTGTGAAATATACAGCTATTGACCAAACTCGTGCAACATCTTGATTTTCATCACATTTGTTCCTCGAAACGCTTAGTTTATCCAGCCTCATTCACGAGATTGGATATGATATTACCCTACATCAGAGATAGCGTTCAAGGGATTTGCGTGTAGTCATATTTAGCATCCCGAGGAATGGTTTTGCGAGTGTCCAGTAAAACAGCAGAGGCAGAGGAGATCAATCATTCACTATTAGACTGTGTCAGAATCTACTGCTATTTTGATAGATTCCTTGATTTGCGTCAAGTGTTCACTGGGTCCTTCGGCGGGAGATTGAACTGAGAGGCGGTGACAGAGTTGAGCTTCGAACGACGGTGTGTAGTTATTGCTTACATTGTACTGTGATCATTCGTTTTCGATGGCTTCGCTGCGGTTTATCAATCGTAGGTAGGATTTGGCGCATAATAGAGCACAGTCCGTATCGATGGGTGTTGACCAATGAAAGCGGCAGTTTTGGATGGATTTATGCCAGCGGCCAATTATAATAATGTGATCGACCTGAGCCCAGTGCCGAGGAAAGCTGGGGGTTTCCATGTAAGGCAGTCGTTTCCTGTGGGAATAGTTAGTGCTTGAAAGGAACAACTCATTGCGTTGTCCTCCAGGTTGACTGGAATGGTATATGAGTTTCTAGGACGCATGTTTTATTCGTCTAGGGATATCACCTGAGCATTGAAGTCACCAGTGATCACTATAATTTCCGATGAACGAAAATTTAGGAACAGTGAGGAGAGGTAATAAAAGAAGTCATCCTTAATGTGCGTACGCGGACAAGACAGGTGAAAAACAACGCTTGGATGTGTTTATGTGGTCTAGCAATGAACCATCGAGACTAAATGAAAAACATTTCAGAAATGAGCGTTCAGCCTTGACATTTAACGCAATCCTGACGCCGTCAACAATGCGAGTGTCAGATAGCACACAGTCTGGCACAGGGAGCCACATGTCAAAATCTCCTTTTACGACCGGTTGTCCCAAAACGAGAGTTGGAAGCGAAACCACTCAATTACGTCCCTCCCCCACTCCCACACCAATCGGCTTTATCCATACACATAGACAAATAACAACTTCAGTGCAAACCCCATTCCTATCAAGGTTCTCTGTGTAGGATTTGAAAACAAACCCACTCACATCTGTGGCGATTTGTAGGGCTTTGCTACCAGTGGCACTATCGGGGAACAAACGAAAAGAGCAACAGAGACAAACAGAGAGACAAGTAGACGGATAGGTCACTATACTAAAAGCTTCGAGTTCACCCTCATGCCAT